ACTTCACCTCTGTTTGTTTGCTTCCCACGCCCTCTGTTTGCAAACAGAGGAGTAAGTTGTGATATTGCTTATACCAGGAGGAACTGACTTTTAAATCTGGTAATTAATTCTCGCTTAAATGTCTTCCAAAAGACTGCACCATGATAAAACACAGAAAAGTTATCACATACACATAAGACAGACTCACTGCCAAGCGATATATACATACACAGAGTACAGAATTTCACAGCTAGCACATGGGGCCAATCCATGGACCAAACAGAACCATCTTTCAGACACTGAAAACATTTCTGGCTGGCTTCTAAGAGATGCTGTTTGACTTCTAGAATATGCAAAAGTGAATTAAGAGTTAAAGTTATATCTTTAACCGAATAAGAAATATAGATGAAAACGATATTCCGACAGGCCCCCAAATTGCACTAATAATATAAAGGTACGTGAGTACATATGAAAAGTGACATGCTACCATCATGCTGCCACACAGGATAATGAAAGATTGACAATTAATCAGAGTAGCCTTTACCCTCCAAGTATGAAGACAGCTTAGCATGTATGAGATGCAGGAGAAAATGCAAAGTAAATGATCAAAGACATCATACCGTGACTAAGTACAACTACCTTTATATAATTTAGTCTTTCATCTCCTCCACGGACCTCTCCTTTGGAAAAGCTGCTAACAGATCCATGGTTGACCAATAGATCAATGAAGGTTTGCAGAGTGTTTTCCCATTGGGATTCTTCAAAAGCCAAAGTATGAAAGGCCTGAATTCTAACAGACACATTTGCACCCCCCACAGAGCTGTCTCCTGTGCCGCCCAAACAGGAGCATCCTTGAGATGTTCTTATCCAAGCTGAGGAGATGAAGATGCAAGGTGTGCCATAAGGGGACCGTTGCCGTCTTTCTGGCACTTCACCTTTATCTGGGGACTGTCCCCACGGCATGGGGGTGACTTTGAATGAGAAGAGCAGACCACACTTTAGGCCTAATTTGGACTTGACACAATGTGTATACGCCACATTTCACCCTTCTATAGCGTAAACTGCCTGCCCAACTGTCTAATGAGGTCATGGCTAAATTCTAAGCAAGGGATTTGGGAAGGTCTTTCCCAAACTCTGAGCACGATATAACTGCCAGTTTCCACCAGGGTCATCATAGAAATATAACAATCCCTAACATCAGATTTTAACAGCAAACTCATCTTCAACTATCAACCCCACTCCATAAAACGGAGTTAAAAATGGGGGGAAGGGAGAGTTAGGGAGTCTGGGATGGACATGGACACACTGCTGTATTTAAAAGGGATAACTAACAAAGTGACTTCCCTGGTGGCACCGTGGATAAGAATCCACCCGCCAATTCAGGGGACATGAGTTTGATCCCTGGTCTGGGAAGATTCCAGATGCTGGGGAGCAACTAAGCCCTGGGCCACAGCTACTGAGCCCAAGGGCCCTAGAGCTGGTGATCCAACAAGAAAAGCCACCCCGATGAGGAGCCCGTGCACCGCAATGAAGAGTAACTCACTCATCACAACTAGAGAAAGACCTCGCCTAGCAACGAAGACCCAGCACAACCAAAAATAATACATAAATTATTTTTAAAAATGAAATAAAATGGGTAACCAACAAGGACCTACAACAGAGCACAGGGCACTCTGCTCCACATTATATGGCAGCCTGGATGGGAGGGGAGCTTGGGGGCGAATGGATGCATGCATATGTATGGCTGAGTCCCTGAACTGTCCCCCTGAAACCAGCACAACATTATTACTCAGCTATACCCCAATACAGAATAAAAAGTCAAAAATAAATAAATAAAACTACAAAGAGCACATGTGTGCTTCTGGGTTGCCAACACCCCTCCACTCCATGAGTTGCTCCAGGTCTTTTCAGGACTTAGATTCCATCTCTGGGCTTATTGTCAGGTTTTGAATAACGTATCAGCTGCTTCAACAAGCACCATCTAGTCATCACTGTTTTTTAACTTACCTGATACAGTGATTTTTCACCAGAGGCAGAAGGCATCTGCAGAGTTCACAGCAAGGGCCTCCCTTCCAAGCATCTTTCCTGACCCTCCCGGGGTCAGACTCCCTAGCTGCCCTTTATAGTAGAAGGTCTGACACAGAACTCCTTCAGCCCCAGCTGAGGGTATGACTCAGCAATGAAAAACCTGCCTTTTTTTTTTCTCTTTTTCAAGGAGGCCAACTCTTTTGCAATACACACATGTCTTAAGCTGATCCATCAGATGCTACAAATTTCACTGAAATACAGATTAGACAGCTTTGTTTCTTCACAAGCCTAGAGAGTCCTGTTTAGCCAAGACACCCCAAGACAGTACAGATGGGGAGATGGGACCTTCCCCAGAAGGGGTCCCGCAGTTCAATCTGGAGGCCTCTGGAAGAACACGAGGAGACCATAGGCAACCTGGGCTCCAGGCCACTGATAAGAAAAGACAGTTTCCTGCTGGCCAGCCTGGAACTATTCAAAAGCATGAAATTCTCCCAATTCTCCCAGGATTTCCCCTTTCCTATGCATAAAAGTTAAACACTTCCATCGCCAAATACTCCCGTCCTAGAAGGCAGAGGGATTACAGCTCTGCTTTGACAAGGAGTCATCAAAGGTTGGGACCGTTGGGTAGTCTGTTTTCCAAGCTCATTGCTGGCCCAGAGGAAGCCTGACACCAGCATCTGAAGCTCAAGGCAGCTGTTTACTTCTGGCTGAAGCTCAATGTAAACCTCACAAATAGTCTGTTAGCATGTATTCTCTCTCTTTGGTAAAATAATAAGAATTTTGAAAAAAATTCATAGTCACAAAAGCTCCAATCCAGTGTTTTCACCATAAAGCTTATCCTGCAGAACAGAGGAAACTATGCTTTCCGAACAGAAGTCTGAGCCAAAAAGGCACCAGCAGATTATTTCCAACACAGAAAGGCAATGAGACTGATAGTTAGGCAAACTGAAAGTCAATGGCTAAATTAGTCACAAACAGATGTGAGAGTTGGACCAAAAAGAAGGCTGAGTGCCGAAGAACTGATGCTGTCAAACTATGGTGTTGGAGAAGACTCTTGAGAGCCCCTTGGACAGCAAGATCAAACCAGTCAATCCTGAAGGAAATCAGTCCTGAATATTCATTGCAAGGGCTGATGCCGAAGCTGAAGCTCCAATATTTTGGCCACCTGATGCAAAGAGCTCACTCACTGGAAAAGACCCTGATGCTGGGAAAGATCGAGGGCAAGAGAAGGGGATGACAGAGGATGAGACAGATGGATGGCATCACTGACTCAATGGACATAAGTTTGAGCAAATTCAGGGAGATAGCAAAGGACAGGAAAGCTTGGTGTACTGCGGTTCACGGAGTTGCAAAGAGTTGGACACAACTTAGTGACAGAACAACAATAACAAAGCAATTCCAAAGAATCACTGAATGATGACTTTCTCTGAAATATCGAAAGATGAAAAGCTAGCAATGAAGAATTTACTTCTCAACAGAGGCCCTTAACAGTTAAATTTATCAATATACTTTAATTTAGGAGTGATAATCAGACATCAGAAAACCTCCCTTCCATTCTGAAATTTTGGTCTGTAATAAAGATCTCACGGTGGCTCTATTTTACTTATTATGTAACTACCATAGCCGAGATTCACCTATAATGGTCAGTGTGTATGTCCCACACCAGCGTGTGTCCCCAAAGCCTGGCACGTCCTTCCTTCTCCACTTTCCTCATAATGGACCTGAATATGCATCAGGGCCAAATGTCAGCAGTGCTCTCAAAACAGTTCTCGTGTGGGGCAAGTTCACATGTGTTATTATTTTAGTGTGTGTATTTGAGACAGACCCACACACAGATCTGTAAGTTCAGGAGAAACAAAACTCATTCCTTTGGACCTTCTTGGCCGAGACTTTTGGACTTTCTTGGGATGTCAACAGACTTCCAGGACCAAAAGCAAGAATCTGGAGTTGGCTTATAAAACCCAAGCTAATAGAGTCCATAAACACAGGGGTGGGGAGTTCCCTTCCCTCTGCATTCTCTTACTTTTATCTTCGTAGTTAGCATATTATTGCCAGAAAAGCCTATCACGTGCCAAGTTGCTAACTGCTACCCAATGAGAACCACGGGCAGTGCTGACCTCTGCGCCCCAAGCTCTCCATCTGACCAAACCACTCAGCTGAGCCCTAAGGACTAAGCAAAATTTCAAGGTCACGGGCTTGTTCTCTGTCTCTATAGGACTGAAATACAATGCTGTACTACTTCATCCCTTAGCCCCTCCAATGCTCTAAAAATCACCCCATGGAAGGAGTCTTTTACTTGCTAGGCAGCCCCAAGACCACAGTTCTTTTCCAAAATGGTGCGGCCTCATTTCAGGAAACAAGAATAATATAGACATGGAAAAAAATAAAGTCTACTGTTCCCTCGCATCTACATGATAAAAAAAATACATTTGAGACACATTCATTCATACACACACACACACACTCAAAGACATTATACTGGGTTGACCAAAATGTTCATTCAGGTTTTTGACCAAAAGTTCATTCATGCAATTATCTTAACAAACTTTTTGGCCAACCAATAAAATCTATGTGTATATATTATGTCACAAGCACATAGCCTTCTATTCACTTGACTCAGTAGCATTTGTAAGCATCATCATATCATTGTCCAATGTGAACCTGTCAGCCACCCTCACCCACCATTCAGAAGAGAGCCTAAGCAGTAATGGGAAACAGTTCCCAGCCGGTTCTGTCTTCTGATCACAAAGGACACTTAATAATTACTATTCACTGGCTTGCTTCAGAAAAGAAAACTATTGGGAAATCTTCACCATAAGAGCAAAAGTATCTTCTCGCCCGCTAAACTATCGCTGGGAACACATTCCCTCATCACGCCCATGGGCTGCCCTTGAACTCCAAGCCACCTTCCCCAGACACACTTGGGGTTTCAGGGTGATGGGGTGAGAAACGGGGCCCAGCCCGACCCTTTGGGGTTCCTCGAGCCTCCATACCTGTGCTGATGCTCCTGTAAGACTTGGTAAATGCTGATAAGAAAAGTTTGGTTTTTAAAACTGCCCACAACACAGTCCTTGTAGATTCGGAACTCTGCAGCCGTCACCGCCTCACCCTCAGGAATCTGGGATAGGTTGAACTTGAACTCTTTGTGGTGTCGCTGGCGAGGGGAGAGCTCCTTGTCGTGCTCCACTATAGGATTAAACAAGAGAGAGTGACAGCTGTTGTTACTTGGCTGAGTGCCACAGGCTCACCTCGAGCAAGCTCCCCGTTTTCATTCATAAGAGGATTACCAGTTACCCACGGCTTCTGAGAGGGGGTCGGGGGTGGTGGAAGGAACGAACCGTGGGCTAGGCGGCCAGGCTCAGACGACAATCCTTCATTTTCCTCAAGGATTAAATACAACGCTTAGATTCTAAAGACTTTAAATAGCTTAATCAGGTCACGGGAAAGCAAGTTATTTAAACGCTTCACTTCAGGGGTCCTCGTCCGCACAGATGGCAGAATGGGGGCTTCCCAGAAGTTGCAGGACTTCTGGAAACAGTGACGGGGACTTGCCTCTGCCGTCCAGCCCCCGCCCACCCCTCCCAGCGCCTCTTCTTCCCGTTGCCCTGGCCCCTCAGGTGGCTTCCTTCTCTCCCAACCAAGCAGTTGACAAGACCCAGGGCAGCCCTGAGCTGACCTCTCGTGGGGGTCCTGGTGGTCGGGGGTGTATTCCGCCTGGGTCTGAAGCTTGAAGGGTCCCCCATATTTTGCCTGATGGCCGGTAGAAATTTTTGTTGAGGGGCTTAGTATGAAGCTTCGTAGAAAACATTGTTCTAACTGAAGTCCATTGCTTCCTTCTCCAGGAGGAAACTGGGGACTGAATAACTCTGTGAGGAGGGACCCTCTGGGTTAGAAGCTGCCAGGGTCTGCCTAACTTGTCTATAGAACCCAAGTAGGAGGACAGAAATGTGGAAACACACCACCAGTGGGGTGACGTGCTGTTGTCCAAGGATTTCTTAAAAACTGGGAAAGGATTGAATCTGCAAGTTTTTTCTTCCCTGTATTCCGGCTATTCCACGTGGCTTGCTGGATCTCAATAACCCTGACCAGGGATGGAGCTGAGTCCCCACAGTGACAGAGCCAAATCCTAACCATGAGGTCACCAGGGAACTGCCTGAAGGCTTTTTTAAAATGAAATCTTTCCCTTGCTTTTAATAAAGCCAAACTACAGAAACTACAAGCTACTGATTATCCTCCTTCGGAACTGGCCTTCAGATGTCCAGAGTCCAAGGGAGAGAAACGCTGTCAGCCTCATCGCTGCAGGAGAAAAAAACCAGCACCCCACTTCCCACCACAAAACCCAACTCTTCTCCCCTGAGCTCAAAAATGCTTCTGCCCTGCTGTTCCTGCTGGGTTTTTCTTTCTTAATGGCAACCACAGTAAGATCTCATGAGCAAATTAATCCTTGTTGGCAGAGTTTCTTCAGGGCTTGTGGGTAGGAAAAAAAAAGTTCTTTGCCACCTCCAATGGCCCACTTTCTCCCACATGTGCTGTTCTCCATAATTACCAGAGAAAAGCTTTGCAGATTTAGCGTCTTAAAAAAAAAAGAAGAAGAAGAAGCCAGTAACTCCTTATGTGAGCTTGAGACCTCAGTGGTGTTGCAGAAGTTAGGGAAGCTAAGCCATCCATCGTATGAGATTTTCAGGAATTTCTGATGCTGCCATGCAACTGTGCAACAAATCTTTTATTTTCAACTTATCCCTTTGGAAGGGCAAGAGGACAGGGGGTTGTTAAAAAAAAGGATAAACTTTCACTTGTGTAAAAGAGTTTGAATATAAGTATGAAAAACAACAAAAAAGAAGGTTCAGGCAGAAAGCAAGTCACCATTTAGCCTCAACAAGAGAACAGGGTTTTAAATTAGTGGCCAAGCATGAAAAGCATCATTGTTGGGGAGTTCATCCAAGGACGCCCACACCTGATGGTGGATCACTTTTCTCCAAAACTGATCTGCCTTTTCAGTTTGCTGTGTTATCATCAGTGGTTAAAAGGTGAACCGAATCTGATTTCCCAAAGAGACTTTCTAAAAAGCAGTCACAGAGCTGTTCTATAGGGCTTCTTGGGTGCTTAAATTTTAGTATCAAGAAATGAAAGCATATTCTTAAGATTCTTTTGAGAGAATACATCAGAATTCCTCAAAGAAGTCTTCCAGTCATTAATATAAACAAGAGAAAAAACTATGAATGCAAAGCAAGGTAGAAAGCAGGGACAAGATATTTCAGTTAGGAGGAGAGAAAGGACCGATATTTCAATACATGAGAAATGTTAGTCTTTGGAGAGGTAATGCCACCCCCAGTAAACCATACCTTCCTGTATTCACACCCTTGGGTGGTTGCTCTCCCCTGGGCTGGCTCTGTGACCTTCTCTGGACCAACAAGAGGCAGCAACAGTGGTGCAGAGTGACTTCTGAGGCTAACTCGTAAGTTTTGAACTTCCTTCTGAATAGGTGTCTTGGGATGCATGTCTGAGGCAAGATGGCTACCAGGTAAGAAGTCCCACTACTCTGAACCCCCACGCTACGAGTAAGTCCAAAATAACCATGTAGAGAGCCCGTGTGGTGCATAAGGACACTGAGGGAGGAAGGAGTGAAGAGTCCAGTCACTTCAGAGCCACCTCAGGGGGGCCACCGGACATAATATGAAGACGCCATCTTGGATGTCCAAGGCAGGGCAGACTTGGGATCACCCCACCCCCACCAGAGACCGCCTGACTGCAATTGCACGAAAGCCCTCCAGGGGGAGCCACCCCGTTCGTCCTGGTCTGGTCACAAGACTGTGAGAGATGACCACAGTACCTTCGGAGCCACTGTGTCTCGGGTGATTTGTTACAGGTAAGAGGCAAACGACACAGGGAGAGCTGGAGAGGATGAGAGCGAGGGAGGGAAGGAGGGAGAAGGCGCGTCTGACCTTGCCAGGAAGGGGAGAAGCTGCGTGCAGTTCTTGAGGAGAAGGGATGTCGAAATCCTGGAAGGCGATGTGTGTGACTAAGGAAGGGTCCTGGCAGCCGCTTGCAGACAGATGTGGAGAGAGAGATAGAGAGTCTAAAAAGGAGAAAATAGAAGCATAGTTCAAAGCCCTCCATTTTATTACCGTGTGAATTAGAACTCACGGCCTTATATGTTCATTTCCCCAGTTCTCCTCAACCGAATCCTGAAGGGCTCAACTTCCTCCCGCTGTTCTTTTACCCTTCTTGGAGGACATGCATGGTCTCCTCAGTCCCCCAGGAGCCTCTGATTGCTGCCCAGCTGATGTTAAGCTCTCCCACCTGAATGTTTTATGCCCCTTAGGTCAACGCTATAGCATCTTCCTCAATCTTCCTATGAGACTTCAGCTACCAGTTACTGTAGTATGCTTGGGACGCCGCCTCTCTCCCCAAATCTAATGCCCACAACTGAATTTACACAGTGCATTTGCTAATGTCTCATATAGATACAAGAAGTAAGTACAATTAAATCACTGCCTACAAGTGCGTTTGAAGACCACGATAGTAAACCAGTCCAGTATTCTTGCCTGGAGAATCCCATGGACAGAGGAGCCTGGTGGACTACCGTCAATGGAGTCGCAGAGTTGGGCACGACTGAAGCAGCTTAGCACACATGCAACGGTTCCAATGAGCCCAGCCTTTCCCCCTTCAAGCTGTGTGAACCGGGCTCCTTAAACGTCGGGATGAGAGAGGGTTGAGCGGGGGCTCCAGTGCCTTGTACCTCTTCGGTAGCCCCTGCCTCTGGCTTCTCAAAGATGGTGCCTTGTGTGGAATACAGTGAAGTAGTAACCAGGAGTGTGGACCACAGCGGGGAGCTCCCCAGGGGTTTTGAATTCCAGCTCCCACTTATCTTACTCAGGTGATTCTGAGCAAGATATTAGCCAAAGTTTCAGTTATCAGGTAATGGGAAAAATAACATTCCTGAAGGTTGAAAGAGTCTGTACAAAACAGTCAATGGTAGAGAAGTGCTTGGTAAATGTTAATTGTAAGCGTCATCAGCTGGTGGTATTTCAGACTGTAGGTCCCCTGAGCTGTGTGGAGGTAGACCTATTCGTGAGTCTTCAGACAGGGCCAATTAATGTTCCTCTAAACGAGCTTTTTAAATGGGAGTGTATAATACATTCTCTGGAAAGGAAGGTGAGCAAAATCCCGGTCTTGAATATCAGCAGCCTTGGAGTTTGGCTACTGAATACAGAGCTGCGTTCTCTGAGGCAACAATTCCTAGAATTTTTCATTTCAAGGACCACTGAAAACATTTTTTTTTAAATGGTAATGACCTTACACAAGGGCATCTACTGTTTCTGTTTGCCTTTTGTAAGGACAATACAGCAAATAAGACAAAAAATTGCACCCTTTTAATGCTCTGATTTTATTTTTAAAGGTCCTTTTAACACCAAATTGAGTAGGAAGGACATAATCCAAGGATATACACAATCCTTGGAGTTGAGTCAATTTAGCCTTACAGATCTCACTCTATTCTCTCTCCTTACCTCAGATGAACACCAGTTGAAATTTTAGAGCAGCACCGGACCTCTGGCCAACAGGCAGGGGCCACAGCAGGAAAGAATAAATGTTACTGGGTTAAGATTAAAAATGTAGATTATGCAGTAATATACATGCAAAAGTATGCTGATATATGTGATTCTACAGAAGTAACAAAGCATAATAACAAAGCACCAAGGAAGCCAGCACCCAAGTTAAAAACTGGAAGGAAACCAGTATTTCTCCCCGGAGCCAACCCCCACCTCCACCCAGAAGGAACCTCGGGTCATGAATAGTGTCTGGCGGTCCCTTGCCTTTTAAAAATGAACAGTTTTACCTCATATGTGTGTATCAACAGATCAGAGAGTAGTTAGTTTTTCTTTTGCTCCTAAAGTCCTTCCTTCCAGAGACATGATGGGAGTTTTACAGACACCCAGGGAAACTCTAGGCAGGACCGTAGCTAAGGCTATCCAGGCTGGGGCGGGTGGGGGGGTGGGCGGTCCCCACTGCCCATTGGCTAGTGGTGTGCCGAGGTTCTGTGGGAATGGCATTTCTCACCATATGTTGGTGCGGATGTGGAGAAAGTAAAACCCCTGTGCGCTGCAGTCCTGGTAGGAATGTAAAATGGGTGTGGGAAAAAGTGATTCCTCAAAAAAAAAAAAAAAACAGAACTATCATATGATTAT